CACGGCATGTGAGCGCAACAAAAACTAAAAACAGGATTGAAGTAAGTGAACAGTCAAGCTCCGAAAGATGGACTGGGCAACGAAATAAATATGCCTCCACAAGCGTCCATAGTCGCTGTGTGAGCTACATCGCTTTTGATCCCACCTGCCACATAAATGATCCAGCTGTTGACCGATCTTTCCATAGAAGCGCTGCCAAGATAGACCAAATATGCCAGGGACGCGCCATTTGTATGCTTGGAGAGCTGACGCAGCACGACGTCTCGACGGAACCTCTCTCTCCCTTCCCGCGCCCCTGACAGCCAGGCGCCAACCTCAGTACCCCATGCCGGCGCTGTACAATAGTGTATACAGTCGAGCTGTTCACTTTGCATAGGGTCGTTGCAGCACAGCTGCTGCGCAGAAGCCGGCCTTCCCATTGGCACGTCATGACGCAGCTATGCAACACATGTGTTTCTCGGGTCAGCGGCAGCTGCAGCTGGCGAGCCGAGGAGAGCTGCGTCACAAAGCAGCTGTCTTAGCTGGGTATCGGGTATTGGCAGCGGAACTGATCTCGAGCGGCACCGGGGCGGGTCACTGAACAGCTCGCATGGCACCGGGGTGGGCGCTGGACAGAAAACAGCACATGGCACAGACGTATCAGGTAGGGGGACTTTTTTCTGAAAAGACGGTGTACTACTGGGAGTAACGTCACCGAACAACCTATTAGGATGATTTAACCTGCGCCCCGCTGGGGGTCCTGAATTTACACGCCCTGCTGGGGTGGAACGGGGGGGGGGGGGGGGGGTTGAACACCTTCTAACTCGTCTTCTGGGCCACGTAGCGACACGCGGTAAACGGCATTCTAAAAAACGTCCAAAGTTAGGACGAAAAGTGAAAACATTTAGTCATTTGTTTAGATAAGATCACCAGAGGTTAAAGGCTAATGTTGCCATTTTTCAACATTTTTTTTTTCGAAACACCGGCACATACCTCGGGAACCAATAGAGCTACAGCGCCATGGAAAAACGCATTCGAAAGCCCCTCAGTAACGCCCTTTCTGGGGTAGGTACTCAGATTTGACCCTAGGACCAACGGTTTAGCCTCCAGAGGGCAAAAACTCGAAAAAAACGTTTCTACAAAAATGATTTTTTCAGTAATAACTTTTGACTTAAGAAAGGCACGACATTTATTTTTCCAGCATCGTGGTCCTCTCGTTACGACGCATCGAATGAACTAAAGGTACTTTGACCTTGAAAGGTCAACTGAAAAATCTGGCCTGGGGTCAAGATCATGACCTAACCGGAAATAATCATGCCGCTGATCAGTCGATATGTGTCGTCGAACCCAACACATCCGTAAGGTGTTTTCATCGCTTTAGCATGCCTCTATTAGAAGTTATTAGCGGAAAACTGTTAGATACCATTCGTGACCTGAGTAGACCTGAGGGACATATCGAGGGGTCACGGGTGCCATTTTGCGGTTCGGTGTGTCGTATTTTCTTGTAATTACGTGTTTGAAATTATTAAGAATTACGTTCGTCTTAAAGAGGCGCCTTTAGATTTTGCTCATTGACTTAGGTATAATGGAGAGAGCGCAAAACTGACCTGACGTTAGGTCACCGATGACAAAATTCCGAGGTATACATTCCGTACATAGTAGGTACTGATGCTTTTATGAATTACTGAAAGTTTAAAAGCGATCGGTCACTCCGTGCAGCTATGGCTGCAACTTTTTATGAGGTGAGGTCACATGACACAACCTGGTGACCTGACCTTGAGTGACCTTGGTTTGAATTTTTTACAGCAAGTGCAACAAAGATGTATAATTAAGTGTGCCAAGCGCCGCCTTTTTTAGATATATTCGCGAAAAACCGCGGGGGGGGGGGGTGTTCAAACATACCAGCTGGGCACGGGTTAAGTTGAATAAGAAAGCACTCCGCCGGAGTCGCAGTAATTATCCGATTAGAGTTCCGACCTCTTTTTCGACATCAACTCTATGGAGTGATAGGTATGCTTCTTTTGTACATTGCCTATCCTGTATAATTTTGGACGACGCAATAACAGCTCGTGAGTTGACAACTGCAAAGCATTTACGGGCCCAGCCGCCTGAAAATATCACTATAAATGCGATGTAATTTGGCGCTTTACTTCTAAACAACCGTGGTAGTGTCACATGACCCTCCCTCCCGCCTGCACACAGGCCTGCACAGTGCACGTCAGTGGCCAGTGCTATCTCAGGACCGTGCAGAACTCGACTGTTGCTTCATATAGACACCGGACAGAGCACATCCGACGTGACATCATGACAGTTTTATCTCAGCCCTTTCCAGTGCTGCTACGATATAAACTTTACAGTTGCAGGATGGGTGATCTGTAAATACATTTAGGTACAAACCAAAGCTAAACAGCATGACTTGCGCAAAAAAACATGTTATTCCTGTTTAATTCGAGAACCATTCTATATGATTACCTCTTCTTTAAACCAAATTCATCAGAAACACAACTCACGGCCAAAGCGATTTATTAGCAAAATCCACTCGTAGAAATCGGTATATAAGACACTGTGTTTCTCCACTCCACAGCAGGCTGTGTGAACTTTAATACTGAGAACATCATGCATGGGCGTTGAAGCAGATTGATTTATTCTCTGCGCCCCAGAGCCGTTACTTGCCTACTTTAGTTGTAGAGCTGTTATACACAACGAAGGGTTAGAACTTCGCATTCTTATCCGAACCCTGGGCCCTGGCAAGTGGCGATGCACGAAAAACGGCACAGTTAGCGATTTTTTATACGCCTATGCATTGCGCGGTTCGTTCGAGTACACTGCGGCACAATTTCCTAGCACTAACAATGATGCCTGGCACCCTTTTCAACATAGCGAATAGTGCTGTTGGAAAATACATACTGACACACACTACAGCAGCCGTCGAGATTCCGTCACCAGCTTATAAACTAACGTTGCCTGATGCTAGCTTAGAGACAATGTCGCATCAAGGCGAGGTTCACCGCTTGTAAACACAGCAGCACAGCAGACGGGTGTTTACATGTCATTGGTCAGAACGCTATATAGTTGGCTGAGAGGTTTTAATGAAAGTTGTTAAGATGAAATGCTTAAAAAAGCTTATTGGTAAAGCTTGATTGGGAAACGGCACCGGTACTAATCAAAGTCATAACGGTTTCAAATGATATAAGGATGAATAAAACCTGTCCGATGACTTGCACGAAATCGGGTCCGCTGTGCACCGCCCCACTGAACATCGACCTCCACCACACCCACTCACTCCTGGGCCTTCCATCCGTCACCCCGACCAGCACGTGCAATGTGCACCCGACAAGCCTCTTGACACACCTCTGCCAGACTAGACGCGTAGTCTGGCGGGCGACGCAGGCCGGGCGTGGTGCGCCCTCGGCGAGCTGGGGCGGGAGCGGGGATGCGGTGCCGGCGACCCCGACGGCTCGGCAAGAGTCGGCAGCGCGCCCGGCCGCGCCAGCATCGCGATCGACTCCTCGCCGGCACGCGACGGGCGACGCTCGCGGTGTGTCGGCGGAGGACGGCGCTTGCGCGAGACGCGTGCCAGCTGCGAGAGGAACAGCCGCAGCGCGGTGATGTCCAGGTTCTTGGCGAGCAGACCGAGGAAGAAGTAGTCGCCGACGGAGATGTTGCGCACTACGTCCTCGATGTCAGTCGTGTGTGGCGTCAGCGCTCGCCGCTGAAACATGCCCGGACGGAAGCGCTTCATGAGCAGAAACGCCGAGCGGAAAAGGAACACTGAGATGGTGATTATGGCCAGCGTCAGCAGCCAAAACCAGAGAACCAGGTACACCTTCTCGTTGAAGATGTTGAGCGCCAGCACGCAGATGGCGTCCAGCTTCTGCACGGTGCCAGAGACGCCGAACTTCTGGAAGGTGCACTTGGTGAGCTTTGGAAACGTCTCGCTCATGGGACTGACTGTGGCGTTGACGTTATTGAAATATTCCCAGCAGCGAGAGCCGTACGAGTAGAACTCGCCGTTGAGGAAGCGGTTGGTGAACACGATATTGAAGATGACGTTGACGATGTTGAGGGCGTCGCAGATGACGAAGCGCAGGTAGTAGCCGTCGTAGGAGCCGAGCGTTTCGGTGACGTAGCGCGTCAGATCGCCAACCTTCTTCTTCAGCGCCTCCTTGTCCATGGTGGGTAGCCGGAGCTCGCGCACGAGCGTGAACACCCGGCCGTCCTCGTTCAGTTCCCACATCCAGTGGGGCATGTAGAACATGATGCCCTGGATGAAGAGCGCGAACGGCACCCATTGGTAGTAGAGGTGGTACTTGGCCGGCAGCTCGCCCCGGTTCGGCGTGCCCAGACCCGGGAAAGCTGCCAGAAAGGAGAGCGAAGACGTTAGTTCAACAAAAACGGTGCTGCTTTGTTGTGTTGCTGGTGAATTGCTACGCATCGAAAATGGCTGTGTTGCCACCTGGGTACAAGGTGATCATTAATTAATGATGCAAAATATACCGTTGTAAAAACGCTCAATAAGCACTCAACGTATAAACACGGCATACCATTTTAAAGACAACTAATTTTAATACTGCATTCCTACCTTTTGATATGCCGAGTCGGTCGTTGTCGGGCTGTTTGCTGGGCAGTGTGAAGGTGCCCGTGATCCAGCAGTGCGTATTTATTATCTCCTTGGTAATGCCCGACTTGGCACAGTCTGCGCAGGCGCAGTTCATCGGGTCGCCGAGCAGACTGTTGGCCGTGGAGAGGATGGAGAAAGCTGCGCAAAAGATAGAAACCCTTGTCACGCTCAAGACCATTAAAGCTAAGTAGATGAAAAAACAACGGTAACTAGGAAATTAACGGCTGATTGAAGGCCTATCAATTCCGTAGGATGCTTGAAACAATGCAGTGGTTTCTCATTTGTATTGCAAATTCAATAATCACTCGTCAATGCTTAAAAATATCCAAAACACATTCAATTTAGTTTACTGCATGTAACGGCTTCAAATCACGCAGCGTCAACTGATTGATACCCACAGAGAAAGAGGAAGGTGGTGACGCGGTAGTGCAGCTGGAACACCTTGTTGTCGATCAGCACCTGGCCGGGCTGCTTCTTCCTGATGACGGCGGCCGCGTCGCCGAGCAGGGCGGTGATGGCCATCCTGGTCGGCTGGGCTCTCTGCGCGAGGAACAGACGCGGGCGCAGATTCAGACAGGGATGTGGCTGGCAGTATCCGCCCCGCCAATAGTACCGGATCGAAAACGTCGTGGAGGGAGCCGTGCGCTGCAGCGCACGGTAGCCGCACCAAGCGCAGCTCCGGCCAGAGAGGCGTCGGTGTGAAATAACACCCGCCCGCCGGCTCCTTTGTTCCATTGTTGGTAGCGCGCTAGATCGGGTTGCAAATTTAGGAGGCAAGCGAAATGAAGCCGTCTGAACAATCACTGGTGCTTGCCAATTTGTGAAGCTCAATACGATAAGGACGGGGCTGATATGCAGTTTTGTGATTGATAGCTTATTAGAGAAAAATATTCGCAGTAACAACGGGAACATTATTTTGCGGATGAACAAGACCTAGATTTATAGATAAGTTTCAACTCCCGCCTATTTTCCCCTAACTTTGATGAAACATAGATTAACGTGTCAACTGTTGATTATCACAAAACTAAAAAAAAAAAGTTTTAATGCCTATTAAAAAAACGTTCAATTGTTAAAATGGGGAATTGTACCTTTAGGATTAAAAACATATTGACAATTGCCATAAGTAACAAAGTGAAAATGGTAAATAAATGTCAATTTTTACAAACGTTAAAAAAGAAATGCCTCCATATGACCTTCACTGGCAAACGGAACAGCAATACTAATTTAAGCTATATATTTAATATATAATGAAATACCAATTTATAGGCGCCCCTCCCTTCTCCCACTTGTCATGTTCCCTCCCCCTCCTCCCCACCAATTATCACAACTTACCTTAGCTGGGCCTCCTTTGCCACGTGCTCTTTGGCTACAGCTGGGACCTCAAAGAACTTCTTAACAGCAGTGCCCGCACAGCGTGTTTCGGTGCACTGGCCCACGCTCTTGGCACCTCGGGCTCCACCTGGCAGGTAGCACGGTCCACGCGGCACTATTGAACACCGTCCGCCCACCACCTCCAGACGCCCACCGAGTATCGATTATCCGCGGCTCGTTTGCCGGCGGTCTCGAACCTCGCGGCGACAGCGGCTGAACGGCCGCCTTTCCGACTGCACAGCTGTGCGGTGGACGCCGCAGCCGCAGCCGCAGCCGCAGCCGTGCCGCGCCGCGGTCCGCCCCTGGGCCTGTTGTGGTCCGCCCCGCCCGGTCCGACGGGGACGACCCTACATCGGCCACTGTCGGGCCGCTGCTGACGCGATCGATCAGACCGGCACGCAGTCGGCGCAGCTGGCGAAATGCCAGCCGAGCACCCCTATAAAACCCCACCGGCACCCCTCGTCACGCCGCCCCCCCCCCCCCCTCGTGGGGCACGTCAAACGGTCGTATGACATGGTATCACCTGACGGCACGAGACGCCGACAGCCGAGGAGATATGGCCAGCTGCTTCCTCGGCTCTTTATCACCATCGAAACAGGCGAGGCTGATTAGCTTTCTTTGTTATGTTTCTTATATCTCAACGACCTGATAACTTTCCGAGAAGCTTCCTTGGTTACCAGAGTTGTTTACATTGGTATGGGCGACCAAAACCTAACGAGGATGGTTAACCCTTATGCAGTAGCTAATAGATAATTCACTAAGCAGGGATTAATCATTGATTCCATGCACACAGAGATGGCTTATTTTCGTCGGGGATCACGGATTAGGTACGGTGCTCCTCTGAGGAAGGCCTTGGTTATGGACCGGACCGGAAATAATTGCCCCGGGTCCGATCGACGCCCTTCGCAGCGGGGTCCCATTGCAATATATCGAAACGGTACATTTCACATTCAGTTTTGATTTGTTAGCGGCACAAATTCAAAGCTTCCTACCTAGCTAAGGGCATCGGCAGGTAGGAAGGTGACGTGAGTGGAGGTCTGGGTTTGTCGTTCCCCCTGGACTAGGAATTATGCCGGTAGCCCGTCGCCGCCTCTAGACAGCGCAATTGCGGGGGAACGCCTTGCAACTTTACTATTAAGGAGCTCTAACATGCACCTGTTCAGAATGCGTTGCATGTCAACGCTTAGGTTCACTATCTCGCTGTTAAAATTGGCGAGGCTGGCACATGCAGTGCCGCATTGCTCGTGTGCTATGCGGTACAGTCTATCTTTGTCGCGGTAGCAATGCCCCCTGGCACCCCGCGGTCCATAGTTGCCCCAGTACAATGTCCCCAGGTAAGTGTTTGCTGAGTCTGTGCCAGATCACGATCCGACCTATTTGCGGCTGATGCCACAGGCGGACGGCCATTCAGGTCACGGTGAACGGAGCAAAAACACTGCCGACGCGTAAGCCGGTTAGATGCGGCTTGGCAGGGCGATTGCTGAGAGTGTGATTAACGCTACGATGCGTAACGCTAACCGCCAAGCGATGTAACGATGATGAACGTGCTTCGCTTTATTTACATGAAAACCCATTAATGCAGCTAAGCGGGCTACCATGCTTCCTATTCGACGAATATCATCACGTCACTGATGAATGCTAGTACATAACTACCTACGTAGTACGCAGCAGCGTACTGCAACTGTCGTGCAACTGTTCTCATACACGAAAAGGATAATAATGTAATCGGTTAATTTCGTAAAAAAAAAATGATGCTCGACTTCTGACACGCCGGCAGGTGGCAGCCAGATGCCCAACCATTCCGAATTTAGTACCCTTGAATAAAGCACTGGTCTGCAATGGATGTGTGATTTTCTACGCTAAGGTTGTCGCAAATAAAACAAAGTCGACGTCAATCAGCAGCCGAGTCACTGACGTCTGGCTGTCCGACGGTGCCGGGCCGACTGTGGTCTGTCGCCAGTGCTGCGCTGCCGATGAAACGATCTCGTAGATGGCACTGTTCGACGTCTACAACGGCGCACCCGGTCCCAGATCAAATAATGACAACGTCAATTAATGTACCTTCTAAAGACGTCACAATGCAAAAAGTTCTAGACAAGTCGGCGTGTAGGTATATGTTCTGCAAGCAGACCTTTTCTTCTCTCCATCCGTGACTGGCTTAACCAGCGTCACCGACCGTCACCACCATGAAAGGGTGAGGGGGGGGGGCGACAAATGGGTCATGACCTCACGCCCTTACCTTAGAGGCCGCGAAGGCCTATGGAGCATTCGTCGGGTATGCTATCATGCATAGTATTTGTAATTAACTACGAAGGTTAATTATGTACACAACTAAGAAAATTTGTCGAGCTTGCATCTTTCTTGATATTATCGATAGCCGCGTTTACATAGGGCTAGTTGCCAGATAGTGGAATTCCACTAACGAGACATTTTTTCCACTAACGAGACATTTCAGGCACCTTCAGATAATTCTGACGACCTATCCGGCCAGAAGGACCAAACCGATTGACAAAAATAAATACATCGTGGCGGATGAACACTAAAGAGGTACTTCAGGCCTAGACATAGTATAGATGTCGCAACTCGCGGCCTTCCCGGCAGTAAGGGCGAGGTATAGATGACGCTTCTGCAGCAAGTCACTGGAACGTGCGAGTCGTGGAATGGAACGGAAGATACGGAACGGGGGCTTCTTAACGGAAGCTTATTCGTTTTATTTTCATTTAAGAATTGATTTCGTGCGCTAGGGAAAGAACATTGTCTTCTTTTTTCTTACGTCTGCACCCCCCCCCCCGTCCCTTCCATCCTTTGGATCAGCCAGTGTGCAGCAAGAGGGTTCATCGGAGAAAAACAACAAAGAGCAATCCTCCCTGAGCCTGTCAGGTCAGAAATAACCTGAGCATAGGCGGCGGAATGGGGAGGGCACCGGGGCACCGTGCCCCCCTTTGATTTTGGCATTTTAACATTAGCCCTATGGGCGCTGCATGGAAAGAATGGGACCAAAAGTCGGCGGTGCCCCCCCCCCCCCCTTAATTGAAGGTGCTCCGCGGCCACTGAACCTGATGACCGTTCGTTATGCCCTACTGCCCACGCTTCTTAACATTTCAGTAGTAGTCAGTTATCTGGCCAATGTTTCCGTATAGGGGTTGGCAAACACAACTGAGCCTCGTGAGTGGGATGAGTACTGGACACAGAAGTGGACAATCTGTTGGCAAGGAGCCCGCAAGGATAATATCTCGAAACTCAGGACTACGTATACAAACACTTTAAAAGCATCTAAATCTATACTATAATCGAAAGCCGCATTGTTGTGAACTACCGGCACGTGCGTCCAATCACCATCAAGAACGGAAGTCCGACCTACAGCAAGCACGACAGTCCGATCATAGATGTATTGAAAAATAACTAGCAACTTTAAACATCGCCTTCCTCAGCCACGCTCTACACCGCATCACATAAGAAAACCGCCAATATCGATTACAAAACACACATAAAGGAATTTCGTAGGTAGAGATCAGAGGAATACTTCACCTCCTTTATCTGGCGCGTCAATAGGTATAAAGTAATCTTTGGCGTCTACGCACTAGCAACATCTATAATGCAAACAGCAGTTCAGAAACCATCCACTAAAATTGCAACAAGGCAAGGGTTGGTCAAAATAAATTATAGTCACCGTGATAAATAGCAAACGAAATACAGAACAAGCAAGCACAACAAAGCATTCCACACTCGTTTAGACTGTACCTACAATATGCCTACATAAGACATTGCAGCAGTGTACAAGGGAAACATTCTTTAAAGATGCTAACGTGAGGAGTTTTAAAAGTTTGGTGAACATAGTTACGAGTCACTGCACAAGAAATGTCGCGGTCGCCAGCCGGCCCAGGCGAAAGAGTCGACGGAGACGGCGTCAAACAAACCCGAGAGGGGGTAGTTTCATCCGCATCAGCGGAGGCGCTCTCTCTGTTAAGGTCGTTAGTTACCAGCCGCAGCACCCTGCTGGCGATTTGATAGCTGCTCTCATTCTCAGCTGGCTGAGCGCCATGTGCCGGGTCATCCGGCTCCATGATTTCCCCTTTCATTAGCAGCTGCTGTTGTAGTTATTGTTGTTGCGTTCCTTTCAGCTGCTGCCGCAGCATAGCCGTACGGTTCTGGATGGTTCTCACGGCGGCAGCCAGGGTCACCAAATCCGTCTCCCCGTAGCCACACCAGACTCGGGAAAATGTACCGAGATGTACCGAGCCAATGTTGCAGCACTCGCGGCATTCATCGGTAGGACTCCGCCCAACCCAATGTCGGCACTGGCAGGAGCCCGACCAGTGGTCCAAGCGAAACTGATGAAAATCGACAGCTGATGAGCGGTCCTCCACTGACGCCGGACGGGTGGCGACGGCGCGGCCGGTCCTGGAGCTGGAACAGCAGAATGGACCGGATAGACGGCGGTCGACCCATATCGACCGGTACCATCCGTCCGGCCAGCTCCTCCAACACCGCTCTTAGGGCGAATAGCTCGCCGCGCGTGCTAGAGCAGAGGGCGCCTGCCGCGACACGCACCTCTCGGATGTCGCGGTTCGGGGGGGGGGGGGGGGTGGCCCCTCCTCCTCCATCTAGCACACCATCGGTGGCGGAGCTGTCTGACCAGATCAAGCTCGCCTCAGACGGGAGCTCCGCCAGACGACTTTCCGCCGCCTTGGCTCGCCAGCCGTCGCGCCCAAACTCGCTTCAGGCCGTGAGTCTATAGCCGGCGCGGTGGCGTGGCTTCGCCATGGTAGCCTTGGGCGGGTTGTCCTCAGAGAACGCATTCGCATTGGCGAGGAGGCGAGCAGCGCCACGAGTCCTGAAAAGACCAAACAATATCAATAGACAATCAAAACTGTAAAAATTGGCATTAACTGCGCAACTGATGTTTGCTTGTTTGTTTATTAGGGTTTACGGGCGCTGCGGTGGTCATTTTGCACCCATGAAGCTGTTCTGGTGAACCTGCGCAACTGAGCAGTGATCATGCTATAACTTATGTTTGGCGTAGTACCAGGGTTCCACCTAAAATTTCGGCGCACGTCAGGTGTAACGTCACATGCGACAAATTCAGCGCATGTCAGTTGGGCAAACTAAGGCTGATGGAATAATATAAAACGAGGGCACCAACAATTGATCCTAAATGACCATACTTGGACATTAATGCAGACCCTCTCTGTATCACCAATTGTCAGAAAACAAGCGGTTTCAAGGAGCGTTAGAGAGTCATGAAGCCAGGATAAAACACAGTGCTATTTTCTAAAAACAGTTTTTACATGATAGAGTTAGGCAACTCTCTCCCTCTCTCTCCGTTTACCATTCGCAAGGCCAAAAAGGCCAATTGGTTTTGAAAGACATTGGATTACAAGCTGAGAATTTTGTACTTTATCATAAAATGTTAAACCTGCGTGTAGATAAAGTCTGAACGGTGGTTTGTAGGCTGATAGGTTGGAGGTTGAAGGTTAGTAGGGAAGGTAAGGTCAGGATAATTTCTGCTTTTTATTTTCATTGGACTTCAGTCTTCATCAACACACGCATCAAAAATATCATCTATTTGAGCATCTTCAAGCCTCAATCTACAAGTTGTACCACAAAAAATTAAAAATTGATGTCATGCCAACATATGGTCATGATTTTTACCACCAGAATTGAATTAAATGCCTATTGATGCTTTACCTAATATTTTGAAGCCTGAAATCTGATTAACCAAACATTTTTTTTCTTGTGTTGGCAGTCTAAAATTTGGCTGGCTTGAGCGCGATGCTATTGCTCTAGCAGAATCTCAAACGGATGTCTACCAAGTGCCACTCCCAAGAAAGTTTTTCAAGATTCTAAAACCACAAACTTTGTTGCTGCCTGATCGTGTGATGGTAAATCAAATGATAGCACTCCGTCTGAGGCCAGTTTTACAAACAGAAAATAGCCACCTGCCGGATTATTTTGCCTAAAGGCTAATTCACATATGGAGTGTAGGTAAATGGTGAAGCCCTCACTGCTTACATGCCTATCGCGTTTACCCTCTGTATGTTGTACCTACGTGGAATGGATATATGAGGAGAAAAATTCCAGGCAGCTATTTTTGTTGGTAAATCGGGTAAAGTAAAACTGGCCTCTGAACGAAAATTTGGACTGAGTGAGATGTCGGCTCTTTGGTGGTTTGGATAGGAGTTGATGATTTTAATTGAAAGATTAAAAGGAAAGGCGGTTTCAAGACAATCGGCATGACAAACCAACACCTTACCTGCAGTTCAAGTTTGTCGATTTCTTCATCAAAATCTAGTCTTCGTCTAGTCCACAAATCAAGATAAAATTACTGGATAGGTACAACTTCTTCTTCTTCTTCTGCACCTCACCTGCCACCCCCTACACTTCTACCTTATTCTGATAAATATCTTTACATAATTTTCACAAGAATGCCACTCAACGGGGTAGATCTAAAAGAGTGCAGGGCTTAAGTTTTGAGCTACAGAGTTCTCAGTGATTTTGAGACACCCAATATGTCTTTGGCACGCCGTATTTGTCTCTCACCGCTTGCGAATTCGGCGATATGATTGGTCGAAGGCCGAGGCTATGGGTCCAAGAAAAGGCCAAGATTCCTGCCAAGATTCTTACAGATAGCCAAGACCGATGACTGACGTGACTGACGGCATGTTACTGCCCTTGGCATATTGCCAATGCACTGCTCCGTCATATCGGCAGTGATGTCAACAGTCATATCGGAAGTAATATGGTAGCTAAACGCAAAAACCATTTGGTGTATGGCTACCATACTTTTCCGATAACGAGACATTCTAGATCAATCTCTCTACTGTTGGCGACATCTGCTGAGAAATCCCAAGACCGAACGCAAGCACATAAAAGTAATGCACTCTAAGGATGCGTTCGAAATCTGGGAAGTGACGGATTTCATTCCTCAATGCGTGTCCCAGCGTTCCCCATGCTGTTTGTTCCGCCATCTATTGCCATGTTTCGCATTCGCACTTCATGAATTCACCACCCCGCCAAGTAGGTTGGTATCAAGTTGGTATAGGTGTCGCATTGCTCTGGTCGATTAGGCTAAGCCAGCTGTCTGGAGAGTGGAGCCGATCCAAAAAACGCAGAAATTCAAAACACCGACTCCAAAGCAATGGCAATTGGCAGCATGCATATCATTAGAGCGTAATTCTGTCGTGATTGCGTCAGAAGCAAACATAATGGCAAGAGTTTCTTGTGTGTCGGTAGGCGCGTGTGGAGTCGCTGGACCGACCGGGGACGTACCCAAGGGGGGACGGACGGGGTGCGCCTCCCCCCTAGGGGTTTTCAGGGCCCATGCTGGCAGAAGGCCAACGTTGGCCAAAATCACGTCGGAGACGAACGAAATTCATGGGAATCCCCCAAAAAATCACGTCAGGACTCAGGACAATCAAGGCTCTCCGACTCGCCTGCCACCTAGGGCCCTTCAATTTACTGCGTGGGGCCTCCTGTGAATAATCGCTAGTGTCTGTGTCTGACCACTAGGACCCTGGACCCCTCTGACTCCTCGGGTAGAGGGCCCTCTGTAGGTAGGAGGCTCTCTCTACGGGATTCCTCCGCTCCCCCCCTCGGCCAAATTCTAGGTTATACGTGCCTGCGCTAAGCCGGGGTCGGAGAGAGGAGTTGACGACCGAATGACAAGCGAGTACTCGTCCTGAAAGTAAACATTTGGAATATAAACAATCCAAAGCTGTTCAGTATTTATATCATTCGAGAGCAGTGCCTTCAATTTGGATACACTTAGCATTCATTTCCCACACCCGTGTACACTCCACGAAGGCTTCTCCGCTGCGGACTCCCGCTTCCGCCGATGCGTCAGTTCTGTTATGGTCGGTAGTGGCGATTAACACGGCGATATCCTTGGAGCGACACAGGACGACCGAAACACGATGGCGGCGACCATGGAACTGTTTATTTTTTATGTGCTTCCATATGACCGGGGGGTGAGACCAAATGAAGGGAAAGGAAAACGTGCCCCATCACAACACCCCCCCCCCCCTCAAGACGCATGCGTCGGTACAAGATACGCATTGCGTCTAACACATAAACAAAAATGTACACCACACACGGTGTGGACGCACGAACTCAGTCGTACGTCTGGTCCGCCCAGCGCACGGTCAGTCGGGCCGGACGGCGACGGCGGCGCGTCCCACGGCGCACTGAGCTGGGGTCGTCGGCGCTGTTCCGCAGCACCGGTGGTGCCGGCTGTCCGCCCGCCGGCGCAGCGGCGGCGGTCTCCTCCGTGCCGTCGGGTGCCGAGCTCGGAGCGAGCTGCTGCCGGCGCCCGGGTGCAGGTGTGGCGGCGCCCTCCGAGATGAGAGATCTCTGGGGTCGCAGATAGCGCTGGTTCCGCCAGTAGACTCGGCCACTGGGCAGCCGGACCAGGTAGTCGCGCCGCTGCCCGACCGCCGTGATGACGCCGACGCGGTCCCACAGCCCCGACCGCGGGTCTTGGACGAGCACACGCTGACCCATGGTGAGCGCGCTGTGCTGGCGGGCTGTCGTGTCGTACCGCTCGGCTGTTTCCTGTTGCTGCGCGGCGGCCCTGGCGTCACAGTCGTCCGCCGCCCGCTGCCAGCAGTCGGCGAAGGCCCGGTGGTGCGCCGGCACTGCCGATCTCAGCGGGTGGCCGAACAGGACCTGAGCCGGAGAGCGGCCGTCGGCGCGCGGCGTGTTGCGCAGCTCCAGCAGCCCCTGCGCGTAGGCGTCCGTGTCGAGCTCGCCGCTGCTGGTCGCCTTCTGGATGAGCCGTTTGGCGGCCTTGACCGCGGACTCGGCGTGCCCATTAGACTGAGGGTAGTGCGGTGTAGAGATCTGGTGCTCCACTCCCCAGCGGCGCAGAAACTCTCGGGTGAGCCGGGCGGTGAACTGGTGTCCACCGTCTGTCCGGAGGGTGGTGGGCACGCCGGTGGCCGCGAATATCTGGCGCAGGCTGCAGACCAGGTCTCTGGCAGTCGCCTCGCCGGCCACGTGCGACACAAACGGCCACCCGGACAGCCGGTCCGCGTATACCAGGAACGTGCGGCCGGCCCAGGCGAAGTAGTCAGCGGAGACAGCCTCAAGCACTCGTGATGGCGTCTTTTCCGGCATCAGCGGCTCCTTCTGCTGACTGGGCAGGTACTGCTGGCAGGCCGGGCACGCTCCGACATGGTTCGCAATGTCACTGTCCAGGAACGGCCAGTAGACTACCTGCCGCGCGCGGCGTTTGGTGCGCTCGACGCCCTGGTGACTGGCGTGCAGGCGCTCGAGCGTGGCGCGCCGCAGACTGGGCGGTATCACGAGCCGCTGGCCGCACACCACCAGGCCGTCGTCCACGGCCAGCCGGTCCCGAACTCCCCAGTACGGTCGGAGGCGCGGGTCCAGCTGTGACCGGTGCTCTGGAAACCCGTTCAGGATCAGGTCAGTGACTGCGATGAGCTCCGGATCGGCGGCGGCGGCGGCGCGCACCTCTGTCAGCGCCGCGTCTTTGAACGGGCTGGGACCGTCGTCCGCCCCGTCGGTGGCCAGCCGTGAGAGCACGCTGGCGAGCTGATGGCTGGCGTCCCTCTCGGCTTCCTCGTCCTCAGGCGCCGGGTCATCCACCGGCGCCCGCGACAGCGCGTCCGGGATGGCGTGCAGCTTGCTTTGCCGCCAGATGGCGAGCAGGTTGAACGGCGCCAGCCGTTCTCGTAGCCGCTGGAGCCGCGGATTTTCGATCTCCGCAAGGCTCTTACTGTTGAGGATCGGGATGAGCGGCCGGTGATCGGTCAGGACTTCAAACCGCTGCATCCCGCCGAGATAGATGCTGCATTTCTTGCAGGCCCAGGCCAGGGCCAGCAGCTCCAACTCGATCACGGCGTACCGCGACTCGGCGTCCGATAGGAAGCGTGAGCCGCACTGGATCAGTCGCCACCGGCCTGCGGCGTCTTGCTGCAGCAGGCAGTAGCCCAGGCCGCCGGAGCGAGCGGCGTCAGTCTCAAGGACTGTGCGGCGGCGAGGGTCGAAGAAGTCGAGCACGGGAGGCGACGTGAGTGCCATCTTCACCGCGCTGAACGCCTGCTCGTGCGCTGGCGTCCACAGCCACGCGTTCCGCGGCCGCAGCAGCTGTCTCAGCGGCTAGGCGGCGGCGGCGACCTCTGGGGAGAAGGCGCCGAGCTGGGTCACCAGGCCGAGGAACGACCGTAGGTCGGTGATGTTGCCCGGCCTGGGGAAGGCCTGGATGGCACGGACTTTCTTGCCGTCGGCGGTATAGCCAGCCGAATTGATGCGAAAGCCGCAGAATTCGACCTCGTCTTCCGCGAACTGACATTTGTCCGGGTTGAGTGTGATACCGTGCTGGTCACACCTTAGCAGAATCTGCCGCACGTGCTGCAGGTGGGCGGCGTAGTCAGCGTCATAGGCCAGGACGTCGTCCACGACCTTACACGTGCGCGGGATGTCGCCGAGCGCGGCGTCACCGCGCTGGTTGTACACGTCGCCAGAGCTGACGATTCCCATTGGAGCCCTCAGGTACCGGTAGCGGCCCCACGGCGTGATAAAACACGTCAGGTCTCGTCTCTGTCTTCTGGCCGGATGGGGACCTGGTGGTACCCCGCCTTGCTGTCCAGCTTGGTGAAGTACGCAGCGCCGGGTGAGACGAAGGCGAGTGCGTCTTGAGGCGAGCGGACCGGGTACGTCGGTCGCTTCACGAACCGGTTCAGTTTCGTGAAGTCCACGGTCAGCCGACAGCCGGACACTGTGCCGTCTGACGACCCCTTGGCCACAGGAACGATCAGATGACACCAGTCTGTGGGGTGCTCCACCGGCTCGATGATGTCCTTTTCCATCAGCTCGTCGAGTTGCAGTCGCACGTCCTCTCGCCAACAGAACGGGATATTCCGGGCGGTGGTCACAGCGTGAGGGACGGCGTCGTCCGTCAGCTCGATCTTCATCGGCTCCCCCGTCATCTTCCGCAGGGTCGACTCCGTATCGAAGACCCTCGGGAACTCGGCTTTCAATTTGTCGAAATCTGCCCGCCGCTGCCGTGCGGAGGGGGTGCCACCGGCGGCCGGGCGGCGGCGCGCGCGTAGGGCCGGGCGGCGGCGCCCGCCCGGTCGGGTCGGCGCCGGCCGAGCTGGCGGCCGGCCGGTCGGCGGCAGAGACGCGGCTTATGTCCCGGGTCTCCTCAGGTGCCGCCGTCGTGCCGCTGCAGCGCCGTAGTGCGGGCTGTCTGCCGGCGGCGGGGGCCTCAGGCGGCTCGCCGGGCGGCGGCGGCTCCGGTGCCCCACCGTCCGTCCCAGTCTCGGCTGCCGAGCCGCGCTGGCAAATCTGCCGGGGAAAGCTCGCCGGTAGAATTCCCAGGCCGATACAATCGTGCCACGACAGCAGTGGTGAGTGCAGTGCTCGCAGAACGGACACCTGCACGGTCTGTATGACGTCACCGAGCTGCAGGGTGAGGGCGCACGTGCCCACACAGTCCAGCCGGCGGCTGTCGGCGGCCCACAGCACAGCCGTGGAGGGCGTGAGGTCCGCTCTGCTCACTCCCATGGACTCGGCTTGTTGCAGTGAGAGGGCTGATATCTCGGCGCCTGTGTCGGGCGTCCATACGGTCGTCCGCCTGACTCCGTTTGGCAGGTGCAGCTGTAGCCGGACCTGCGGCAACCGGTGGGCCGTCACACTGTTGAGGCGCGCGCCCGGCGTCCGGGCTGCCGGCGGCGCTGACTGCTGCCGGTTCCCCGTGTCTCTCGTGGTTGCATTCGCTGCCAGCACCGAAACCTGCCGGTGCGACGCGTCGGCAGCCGTGCTGACACGGCGGCGGCTGATTGCGCTACGGTGGCGCCGGCCCCTCCCCTGGCGGCTGCTGCTCGCGCTACGGAAGCGCCAGTCCTGTCCCTGGTGGCTGCGCTCGGAACTAGGCGTCTGCCGGCGCCGCTCTTCAGTGCCCGCGGCATGCCGACAGACCGAGGAAAAGTGGTCCCGTTCGTGGCCATCGGTGGCAGGTGCGACCCAGGGCGGGGCAGGCACGACCGTCCGTGTGCTGCGCGGCACCGCAGCGGTCACACCGCCGGGTCTGGTCGGCCGAGCGCGAGTCCGCGCCGCTCGGCCGACCGCGCTGTCGCCGGTACTCGGAGAGCCGGCGCAGAGACGGCTCGCCCGGGCCACGGATCGCCGAGCTGTTGAGACGGGCGCTCTCGGACGCCCGGCACAGGTCGGCGGCCATCTGGAAGGTCAGATCGGGCAGTTCCAGCATGCGGCGTCTGGCCTCGTCATCACTGGTGCCCACCACCAGATGGTCTCGGAACCTATCATCGGTGCAGTTCGGGCAAAAATCACAGCAGGACGCTATCTCCTTCAGGGCGCAGATAAAATCGTCCACTGACTCGCCTGGCTCCAGCATCCGCATGTTAAACTCGCAGCGGTCGATCACCACGTTCCGCTGCCGCCGAAGGTGGGTGTGCATGGCGGTGATTACATCGGCCATGGACGCCTCGGCCGGGATGGGCAGGCCAAACCGGACCACGCGGGCCCAGTCGTCGTCGAGAACAGCGAGCAGGGCGGCCCGCTGCTCAGCCTCGGTGAGATCGTGGACGCCGGTGAGGAGGCAGTAGCCGGATAACTTCTCTTTCCAGGCCTCAAACTCCTTGAGGGTAGCGGTAGCCGCCAGCCGGGGCGTGGGCGTGCCGGCGGCGGGCATGCGTGCACGCGGCCGGGCGCCGGAATCGGGCCCCGCGGCTGCCTGGGCGGGTGCCGTGGCGTCCTGCACGGCCGTCGGGCCGGGAAACACCCGCTCCAACAGCGCCGCCATCCGCTCCTCACGTCGCGCTGCCGCTGCAGCCAGCTCCAATTGCTGCTGCAGCATGCCCCGAAGTAGCTCCATCTCAGACGGCTTCTCGGCGGCGGCGGCCGACTGCGCCTCATCGCCGCCCGCCATCTTGGACGCGCGCGCCGCACACAGATGTCACTCGCGACTGGCGACACGAGCATGAATCAGAGATTATCCCAGCCGCTCGCCAGGTTTCGTGCCCCACCCCACGCCAGCCCGTCACCGACTTCAGTCGGCTGGGCGGCCCATCTTCCGCGATAGTCCTGAGGGCTTGCCCTCGGGGAGCGCGTGCGCCTTGGCGAAGAGCTTCGCTACCAGCACGTCTCGCCGGGCGGCCAGCGGGCACCGGCATCAGTCCGGACTTCACCATCACTGCGTGGGCTGGGATAAACAAGGGGCAGCCGGTGATATACGGGTCACCGCCTGCATCTCCCTTTGGAGGAGTTCCACGTGGGATTGTGGCGTCACCGGGAGCCAGGTGGCGGCCGCGTGCACCAGCACTCCACGGACGTATCCAGACGCTACAGCGCAGAGCTGTCGTTCCTCTAGTCCCCAGCGCCGCGCTGTCAGCTTGCGAAGCTGCTGGATCCGGGGCGCACTCGGGAGCGGAGACTGCGGCAATGGGCCCCGAAGTGAAGGAGCAGGTTGAGGGGGTGGCTCCGAGTAGTTTGAGACGGTCGGCTGCTGGAACCGACTTTCCGTCGACTTTGATGGCACAGTCCACGGCGTCCGCGGCGCTCTAGGAGACGACGAGCAGCTGCGTATTTCACCCGCTACCAGCATCTTGGACTGTTTTGCCCAGCGCAACACAGCGTACGTCGTCTGCCGCGTCCGGCCCCAGTTCAGTATCGTCTGTTTCCATTAACACTCTGAAATGACAAAATAATTAGCCATTAAAATCAAAGTTCAGCACTGACGAAGTTTAACCAAACTTGCCATTTCAACATAACACAGTGAGCTGTCAGAATGCTGTTCTTTTGTGCTTTGACACAGTTGCAAAATAGGTACCTTCATACGTATATCATAGAAGTAATTACTGGTTATTATTATTGGAGGATTTTTTTGCAGCATTCTCGTCAAGTAAAATACATTATCTTCTTTAAAAGGACCATAGTGTGAGGTGTAAATACAGTCTGTAAGGTTGTCCAGACTAATTGTGCCCCTATTTGTACGGTCTGGGCTGGAGCATGTACTGTTGGCATGTTTGCACGTCCACTTTGGATTAATCTGGCATGCTAAGCGAATGCGATGGCAGCGCCTTGCATTGCTTGCATGCGGTGGTTGGCATTGTTGGGAGGTGTTCTAACTATCTGTTTGTCCCGCTTTGCCCACAGCGTCGACTGGGTTGAATATACTTGTATTTCTGAGTAAACAGTTTCTCACATTTGGAGGCAGCCATTCAACCCAGTCTGGAACCCACTCTTGCTTCCGAAGACGCTTGAGGTGGCAGAATTCCAGCAAGTCAATGAGTTTTTGTGATAGCGTGGATGAAAAAGTTCAAGCACTCTCTTTAAAGTAGCGGCCAAGGAGCCACGGACACAGGACATGGCGTGTGCCCCTGTTAAGCCAGACAGATTTAATGGTTCTGGTGATGTGGAAAGATTCTTGGCCCATTTTGAAGTGGTGTCAAAAGCCAATGAGTGGTCAGAACAAAAGCAGTTCCTGCAGCTCCCTGCCTGCCTGACTGGACCAGCTTTTGATTTTTATCGCCAGTTGCCTGCCATGGAGTGTACTGACATTCACACACTGAAAAAGGCGCTCAAAGCTGAGTATCATACACCAGCTCTCCCTACAGATTATGCCATCATGCTGTCCAAGCGTTCACGCATGCCTGGAGAAACTGTCATGCAGTATGGCGAGGCTTTGAAGAGCCTTGGCAGGAAAGCATATGCTCCCTTCTGAGTGAAGAACAGTTGGGAACTGTTTGTCGCTCCACATTTCTGAACAATGTTGATGAAGCTATGAGAGTGCAGTTACTACTGACCCTGAAGGAAACAGAAAGTTACAGGGACCTACTGCAAAGAGCTCGACAGCTGGAGCAGGTAATGGGACCTCGTGTACGTCATATTGAGGAACAGTCTCAAGAGCACCGCCTGGAGGATGAGGTATCCAAGCTGTCCCTGGTTGTGGCGAATCTGGAGAAGAAGGTGGATGCACTCCAGGCAGGACGACAGGAAAGGACTCACAGACGTTCACCGCCGGGGCCGTGTCCGAACTGTGGCCTGGAGGGACACTGGCGTAGGGAATGTACCAAGCCCAGTAAGGATCGACAGCAGACAAGTGCTGCAGAGGTTATTTGCTTCAAATGCAATACGCCTGGACATTTTGCTAAGGGTTGCGCGGCCCATTTTCAGTAGGCGCGGCTGGCGGGGGTGGGCGGAGAGTGATTCGTACCTCTGTACGTCCACTTTACCCCGAGTCGGCCGCGCCTTGCAGCTGGAGCGCGGATTACCTGAACGGTGATGTTGTGTCGTCCTCCGTATGGAGGCCGGCCGCGGCGGCCCGCGGCTCGTCGGTGCGTGGATCTTAGAGCCGGCCCGCTCCGGCCGGCGGCTCGTCGGCGCTGGAGTCCAGTAGCGCGCCTGCTGCGGCCGGCGGCTCGTCGGTGCGTGAATCCTGGAGCGCGCTCGCTACGGCCGTCAGCTCGTCGGCGCTGGAACCCTGGAGTCCGCCCGCTGCGGCCGGCGGCTCGTCGGCGTTGGAGTCCAGTGGCGCACCTGCTACGCTCGACTACTCGTCGGCACCGGACCCCCGTGGCGCGCCCGCTGCGGCCGGCGGCTCGTCCGCGCTGGAGTCCAGAAGCGCGCCTGCTGCGCTCGGCTGCTCGTCGGCGCCGGACCCCGGTGGCGCGCCTGCTGCGGCTGGCGGCTCATCGATGCTGGAACCCTGGAGCCCGCCCGCTGCGGCTGGCGGCTCATCGATGCTGGAACCCTGGAGTCCGCCTGCTGCGGCCGGCGGCTCGTCGGCGCTTGAGTCCAGTGGCGCGCCTGCTACGCTCGACTGCTCGTCGGCGCCGGACCCCCGTAGCGCGCCTGCTGCGGCCGGCGGCTCAACGGCGCTGGAGCCTCGGGGCGCGCCTGCCGCGGCCGGCGGCTCGGCGCTGGAACCTCGGGGCCCGCCTGCTGCGCTCGGCTGCTCGTCGGCACCGGACCCCCGTGGCGCGCCTGCTGCGGCCGACGGCTCATCGGCGCTGGAGTCCAGTAGCGCGCCTGCTGCGCTCGGCCGCTCGTCGGCGCCGGACCCCGGTGGCGCGCCTGCTGCGGCTGGCGGCTCATCGATGCTGGAACCCTGGAGTCCGCCCGCTGCGGCCGGTGGCTCGTCGGCGCTGGAGTCCTGCTGCGCTCGGCCGCTCGTCGGCGCCGGACCCCGGTGGCGCGCCTGCTGCGGCTGGCGGCTCATCGATGCTGGAACCCTGGAGTCCGCCCGCTGCGGCCGGCGGCTCGTCGGCGCTGGAGTCCAAAAGCGCGCCTGCTGCGCTCGGCTGCTCGTCGACGCCGGACCCCGGTGGCGCGCCTGCTGCGGCTGGCGGCTCATCGATGCTGGAACCCTGGAGCCCGCCCGCTGCGGCTGGCGGCTCATCGATGCTGGAACCCTGGAGTCCGCCTGCTGCGGCCGGCGGCTCGTCGGCGCTTGAGTCCAGTGGCGCGCCTGCTACGCTCGACTGCTCGTCGGCGCCGGACCCCCGTAGCGCGCCTGCTGCGGCCGGCGGCTCAACGGCGCTGGAGCCTCGGGGCGCGCCTGCCGCGGCCGGCGGCTCGGCGCTGGAACCTCGGGGCCCGCCTGCTGCGCTCGGCTGCTCGTCGGCACCGGACCCCCGTGGCGCGCCTGCTGCGGCCGGCGGCTCATCGGCGCTGGAGTCCAGTAGCGCGCCTGCTGCGCTCGGCCGCTCGTCGGCGCCGGACCCCGGTGGCGCGCCTGCTGCGGCTGGCGGCTCATCGATGCTGGAACCCTGGAGTCCGCCCGCTGCGTCCGGTGGCTCGTCGGCGCTGGAGTCCTGCTGCGCTCGGCCGCTCGTCGGCGCCGGACCCCGGTGGCGCGCCTGCTGCGGCTGGCGGCTCATCGATGCTGGAACCCTGGAGTCCGCCCGCTGCGGCCGGCGGCTCGTCGGCGCTGGAGTCCAAAAGCGCGCCTGCTGCGCTCGGCTGCTCGTCGGCGCCGTACCCCCGTGGCGCGCCTGCTGCGGCCGGCGGCTCATCGATGCTGGAACCCTGGAGTCCGCCCGCTGCGGCCGGCGGCTCGTCGGCGTTGGGGTCCAGTGGCGCACCTGCTACGCTCGACTACTCGTCGGCACCGGATCCCCGTGGCGCGCCCGCTGCGGCCGGCGGCTCGTCGGCGCTGGAGTCCGGTGGCGCACCTGCTACGCTCGACTACTCGTCGGCGCCGGACCCCGGTGGCGCGCCTGCTGCGGCTGGCGGCTCATCGATGCTGGAACCCTGGAGCCCGCCTGCTGCGGCTGGCGGCTCATCGATGCTGGAACCCTGGAGCCCGCCCGCTGCGGCCGGCGGCTCGTCGGCGCTGGAGTCCGGTGGCGGGCCTGCTGCGCTCGGCTGCTCGTCGGCGCCGGAACCCCGTAGCGCGCCTGCTGCGGCTCCAGCCGAGGCTGTACAAATAGGGGCACAATTAGTCTGGACAACCTT